GTCTATTTATATATATTTATTTAAAAGAAATCTAACCCAGATAACGCATGAACGTTGGCTTGATGTTATGCCGACATCTTTTATATCAGTATTAGATCGGTTTCTAAATACTTAATCAGGCCGATTAATAAAGTAGATCAAAAAATATTCCACCGGCAAACGACATCGGCAAACGACATCGGCAAACGACATCGGCAAACGACATCGGCTTGATATCTGCCAACACACCATAAAATGATTAAATCTTTTAATTTTTACTATGTGCAGGTTTAACGATAAGAAGAAAATACTAACCACGCAAATTGACGCATTTCAAATAGTAAAAGCGAGTTTCCACTCATCAGTTTTTCCACGGGAACGGGAAAAGAAAGGAAAAAATAATCACGTGAGCATGCGTGATAAAAGTTTTAATTTGTTCGAAGGCAAACTGGACATGCTCACGTGATTATTTTAAAAAAACGGATGAGTAGAAACTCGCCTTTAAGTATATGCAACTCATCAATACGAGTGTTAATAATTAAAGTTAAATTTAGTCTTAGAAATTTAAATTATATATATATATATTAATGATAAAAAAGAAAACTATATAGTCGGAGACTTAAATATGAACTGTTTTCTCTATAATGACGACCAAAAAATTAAGAATTATTATGATGCAATTTTTGAAAACTCTTATAGATATTATAACTACTGATATTTTTAATAATAATATACAAATAGGTATCATAAAAACTGATATATCGTATCATTTTCCTCTATTCTTAAAACTTAATAAAACAAAACCAGAAAGAAACATTAATATAAAAAAAATAATAAGAAAACGCATTTATAATGAGGCTAATATTAAATTATTTAAAGAACAAATATCATTACTACATTGGAAAAACATAAATTTTGATGATAACGCAAATAATATTTATGAAACTTTTTTCAAAACATTTTTTTCTGCATATGAAGTTATTTTCCCAATAGTAGAAAAAATAATAACAACTAAGAAAATCAATACACCCTGGATTACTAAAGGTTTTAAAAAATCATTCAGAATAAAACAAAAGTTGTACATAAATTTTTTAAAAACAAAAACAGCTTCAAGCGAAAAAATCTATAAGAACTACAAAAACCTATTTGAAAAAATTCGCAAAATTATTACTCCCAATTATTCAATACATTTAAAAACGACACAAAGTGCACGTGGCAATTAATGAAAGAAATTATTGGCAAAAATAAACCATGCTCCGGTTTTCTGCCACAAATGGTCGATAACAAAAGATTATATGAACCAAAAACTATAGCTCAAGAGTTTAACAAATATTTCACTCATATAGGACCAACACTGTCTGAAAAAATCCCTAAGACCAAATCTTTGTTTACTGACTATATAGAACCCTTGAATAATTACATTTGTTCAGATGAGTTATCTTCCGAATTAATGCTTGATGAGTTTGAAATAGCCTTTAAATCTGTTAAAAAAAAATAAAGCAATTGGAGCAGATCAAATTAATTGAAACGTGGTTTTAGATTGCTTTGAACAACTTAAAGTTGTTCTTTTTAAAATCTTTAGGGCTTCTATCCATCAAGGAATATTCCCAGAACAATTAAAAATTGCAAAAATTATTCCTATTTTTAAAGGGGACAAATCTGAAATCAGTAATTATGCTCTGTTCTCTCAACATTTTCGAAAATTTTAGAAAAAATTATGTTTAACAGAATATACGATTATTTTCATGATAATAATCTACTTTACATCATTCAATTTTGTTTCAAGAAAAATAACTCAACTGAGCATGTAATTATCCAATTTGTACGTGAAACCTCAAAAATCATTCGAACAATCACAGTATACACTAGGAATTTTTATTGACCTATCAAAAGCTTTTGATACGGTCAATCACCATATTTTAATTTATAAACTCAAATACTACGGAATAAAAAATAAAATTTTAAAATGGTTTAAAAGTTATCTATCTAACCGAAAGCAATATGTACCATTTAAGAATGATTACCAACCCACTTTTTAAAATATAACCTGTGGAGTCCCACAAGGTTAAATTCTTGGACCTCTCCTTTTTTTAATTTATATAAATGACTTAAATAAAGCTTCAAAACTAACAAGCATTATGTATGCAGATAATACAAATTTATTCCTTTCCAACTATGATATCTATAAACTTTTTAAAACAGTGAAAAAAAAAACAAAGAACTCAGACGTATATCTAATTGGTTCAAGTGTAATAAGTTAACCTTAAATACTAATAAAACAAAATGGGTTTTATTTCATTCAATTACAAAAAAGCGATTTCTCCCTCAAAAATTACCTCAAATCTTTATCGATCAAAAGGAAATAAAAAGAGATTTTGTTACAAAATTTTTAGGTGTTTATCTTGATGAAAACATCCAAAATTAGCAATTATCATCCAAAATTAGCAATTAGCATTACACAAAACATTGCACGTAATGTTAAGAAAAAATTTAAGCGTTTCTGACTATGATATAGAAATCATAACAATTGAAATAAGTAATAATAAAAAACAATACATGATCAGAAGTGAATTATTTAAATTTACGTCATAACCAAATAACTTGTGGTGATCGAATGGAAGAAGAATCGCTGATATCACGATTGTGGAGAAACAAGTTAGTGGGTGGTTGTTTACTTTACCATAAAAATGTCTTAACTTTATTTTAACGATCTTTAAAATTTGAATAAATAGAGTAGATATTTTATCATTGCTATTGAGAAATAGGTACTGCATAAATAGAACTTGTTTTTAGTTGAGTATGGAACAAAACAAATATTTTTATGAAAACTGTTGTTGCTTTTCAAAAGGAAATTGTGGATCATTCAAAAAACATAAAATTATAAACAAAATGTTCTACATTCATCAGCTGGGAGATGTTGATGTTAAGAAACACCTCATCAACTTAAAGGTAATTATGTATTTTAAATTTACGCAGACTGTAATATAATTTTTATAATTACATACTTTATAACTTCTCTGCAATAAGATTTTGAGACAAAATTCTTTAAACAAAAAAAAAATAGCTCTTTTAATTAATTCCTCACTCTTTTAATAAATAATCACTAAATTAATCACACTCTTGCAATATTGTATTTTAATAATAACAACAATGTATTTCAAACTTGTAAACATTTTTCGTGAAGAGTCAGATTATAAACAATGCTTTAAATGACACACTTAATAATTGTTTAAAAAATTGTTTTTAGGTCATGCGATTAAACGATAATAATATTTGGGAAGAAAATGGACTTATTGCAAATAGACTTAAAAGAAATCTTGAAAAGGATAAACAAATATGTGCTTTTCACCGGTACACGTTTGGTATTGCATGGAGTCCTCCAAAAACATGCTTTCATCCTCACCATCTAAATTTAAAAGGAAAAAAATCTCCCGCTTTAAGGGCGTCACCAATACATGTCGTCATATCAATGTCAAAGCGATACAATGAAGTATTTTCAGTTGGTGCAATGCTGTGTTTTACGCATTTAAAGCAAGAAACTGCTTTATCTAGAGTCAACGAAAACACCAATTTATGTACAGAAACACAAGCACAACAAAAACAAACATATATGACACTTGCTACTCCAGATGAAGAACTTGATCCCGGTGAAATTAATGTTTCACAGAAGATTTTGGACGAATCTCTAAGAAGCCGTGAGAGTGTAACTGAGGTTCTTAATGCAAGTCCAATAAAATTTAGATTAAAAAGGAAGTTCGAATATCTGGAAGATACTACTAAAGATAAGTTAAAACGCAAGTATGTTCGCCTAGAAAACTTATTAAAGAAAAAATTTGCGGAAGCTGTTGCTCCTGGACAAAAGGAAATACTTATAGATTTTCTTAACAGTAAAAATGTTGATGAAATAAATAGCCCTTTCCCAATTGAAATTATTCGTGCTCAGAAAGTATATAAGCAAAGTGATTCCATGGAAAAGTTAGTTATCCTCTCATTATTAGACCATACCAAGTATACCAAAAAGTTTATAATGAACACATTTGAGTGTACCAAACATCGTATAAAACAGCAAGAAAATGGCATTCATCTCATAAAGGGTTGGCATTTCCAGAGAAGAAAGTATTCGTCCGATCTAGTCTTGATCAAACAAAGTGTGAACATTTCTTAGACTTTATATTTGCAAGCGGTATTTTGCATGATGTTGCTTATGGAATAACCAAATTAAAATACGACAGCGGTGAAGAACAAAAGATAGTGCATGCAATACTGACGACAAAATATAGCCACGCTATCATGTTCTATCGAAAAAGTTTAGATGGATGTATTCAACTACATAAAACACTTGATGAGAGATTCTCAACAGAAAAAGGCAAAAATCGAAGCTTTTAAGCAATTAAACGATGAAACTGCTTTCTGACTTAAAGATTTTTGTTAAAAAATTCTTCCGGTTCGATACAGAGAGGGCCAAAGAGAGTATTTTGGCATGAAAGGAATGAGTTTACATGTGGATATGTTCTTCATAAAAATAGCAGGAAAGTTAATCAAACGTGTTTACTTTACTTCAATGTATAGGTGTGATCAGGGATTAGGTGATGTTGTTTCGTTAGCCACTGCAGTTTTAGACCAATTCAGAATTGATTAACCGCATATCAAGAAAATGTTTACCAAATCTGATAATGCCGGCTGCTATCAGGGAAATCTTTCAGCTGAAGCAATCTACAATGTATGCAAAGAGAGAGATATAAAGTTGCTGAGATATGATTATAATGAACCCTGTTGTGGAAAAGATCAATGTGACAGGGAGAGTGCAGTTGTAAAGACAATTTTAAGGAGTTCCGTTGACGCTGGTAATAATCTTTTGACTGCTGAAGATATACACAAGGCTATGCATTATAGTTTTGGCGCTAAAGATGCAAAAGTAGCAGGTTGCTCAAATTAGCAATGATAAAACTGTAGTTACTGGACCAAAGATTAAGAACATTAGCAACTATCACTCATTTGAGTTTGGTGAGAAAAGTATGAAGATGTGGCGTTATTTCAATATCGGTGAGGGAATTGAACAAGAGTATGGAAATCTTAAAATTCAACCCTCGATTAAGTTGTTGTTGCCATATAGCAAAACAGATAATTCAATTAAGCGTAACAAGTCACTTAAGGAAAAACAGAAAAGAACAGGCAATTATATTCATTAAGATTTTGCACTGAAATGAATTGTACTTTATCATTTGAAAGCGATGCTGAGTTAGAAGAACACATGCTATCCGGTCTTCATACAGTTCCGAAATCATTAACATCATTGTTTGCAACGTTTGCAACTCGTTTGTTCATAAGATGAAAATTGCTTCACAACTAAATATGCCAATTTCTTCATCCTCTAATAGTGCTTCCGTAAAAGACAAACCACATTGCATGAACATTTATTGCAAGGTTTGGCATTACCAGTTCGAAGTTCTTTTAGATTTTCAAATCAGCAGAAAGAACTGTTGTATAAATACTTTATTCGTGGAGAAGAATCAGGTAATAAAATGAGCCCTGAGCAGGTTCACATGCAGCTGAGGAGAGAACTTCCGCCTGATCAATATGTAACTAGCCAACAGATAAGATCTTTATTTTCAAGGTAGGCATTGTTGCTATCAAAACTTTTGCAAATTAGATTATGTTTCTGACTGTTAAATAGTTCTTTTACAAATATAAAATTAAAATTTAGGTGAAAGTTATAATTTTGTGTGTTTGTTTACATATGTTTAAAAATGTGTACAATTGATATTGTTATAGATTTAGTAACCTGAAAAGAAAAGGTAAGCTGGTAGAACCGACAACAGAAAATAATGAAAATAGTCAGGTTAACGATAACAAAGAAGTTTATGGCGAAAATGATGACTTTAATCTGACAGGAGACAATGAAGATGGTAATAAATATGAGGAAGACATCGCCAATCTTGCAAAAGAAATTTGTCTTGTATGGAAAGTGAATGATTGGGTTGCTGTTGCATATGAAAAACAATGGAAAATTGGATATATTGTGGAGGTAATATTATTCAAAGTATATATTAGTTTCAAGTTTTTATTTTGTTTTACAAAACAGTGCTCTAAAATAAAAGGAATATAAATAAAATGTAAAAATAATTTCAGAATGACACTGTATAAGACTTTACAAGTTTTATTGAATGTAAGCAAAATTAAACAAATCATAAACTCTTTATTATATTATTTTAAATGTTGCGCTAATACTTTTAGGTATCTATAACTGGGATCAGAGTTAATTGTATGATTAACGGGCAAGAGAAGAATACTTTTCGCTGGCCAGTTACTACCGAGGAGATAAATCACCAAACTGATAAAATTATCTGTTTAGTAAATGCTCCTTTTCTAATCAGTGGTTGTGGCGATTATTCATTATCCGAAAAATACTATAATACAGTCATATCATTATTCTTAGAGAAACTTTCTGCAGCAGAGTAGAAACTATGTGTGATGTGGTGGATAATGTGTGTAAATGACTCTATTAATAAATGAAAAACTAATTTTTAAATGGAAAAACATTTAAATGTTTAATTTATGTTTTATTTAATTAGCAATATAGTTATCTTGATGTTAGATTTTTGTTCAGTTTTTAATTCATGTTATATCATGCGTGTGACAAAATCACACGAATTTTTTTTATTATTATGTTAGGACCTTTTTGTATTGACAGTTGGATATGTTTACATTTTTACAAAACTAAGCGCCTCTGCCGTAATGGTTCATTTTGTAAGTATACTAAAACATTTTTTTCCAATTTCAAGCCTTAATATATTAATAGGCCTTAGGTATCACATAACTTTCTTTGCATTTTTAGACTCAATACCTTTGATAATTTCAAATCCTAAAAGAAAAATTGTGTGCAACACTTCGCCGCTAGAATTAACTCCGATTAAAAATTGACAAAACTGATTGATTTTGTACTTTTGAACTATGATAATTAGCCAACCGCACAGTGTCACGCAACTTTTTTATATTTTTTGGAGAGAGCTTTTGGGTTACGTCTAATATTAACTACAAAAGCTATGTCCAACTTTTTGCCTTGCCAAAAAAATGGGTTCAAAGGTGGCAAAAACTAAATTTCTAAAAATTTTTAAAAAAATCTCAAAAATTTAAGCCCAGATTCCGAGTGAACGAAACATTTTTGAAAATTTTTTTTTTCCCTAACAGGTTTTCTCTATATTCTGATCAATATATAAAAAATTCAAGCAATTTGGACGAGGTCACTTTCACAGTTTCAGGAATTTGCCTGATTCTTAGAAAAAACGGCTCTTAAGCCATTAGTTATAAATCATTAATTTTATTTTTGATAAAATAAATAAATCTTTTAAATAGCATATCTTTATAAAAATAAAAGTAAAATTTAAATTTATGTTGGATCTTACTTTTAAAATGTATTCTAATTTGAAAGTGAAAAAAAAAATTAAACAGATGAGAGCCATCATTTTAGAAGTGTGTTCAAAAGCTAAAAAGTTTCAAAAACGACGGTTTAAGGGCCGTTGAGAGCCGTTACGTCGCCTGGGACAGCAACCCTCATTGGCGCCATTATTTATCGAAATTTTGCTTTATTATAAATGAATGACCTTTTTCTTCTCTTTCTTTCTTAGATATCTGCCGCCCAGGACAAACTGTCCCTTTAGCCGGCCCTCTATGCGGCCTTTTTACAAAATATCAACATTTAGTTAGAGCTAGAGTTTTCATCATTTGTAAGGCTCAACAGTTTTCTAATTTGTAAGCCTAAATTTTTTTTTGATAACTAGTAAAAACTAATACATGGGGGGAAGGAAGTCTTAATAAACTTGGGGTGGGAAAATTTTTCAAAAGTTAATAAACATTTTCCTCCTCCCCCCCCCTCCTTTAATTAGGGACTTGAGAATAAGTCACAAACGACCTAATTTTACGGCGTAGGCTGACTAAATTATTGTTTTTTTAAAAGTAATATATTTTTAGTGTAAATTTCTATGTCATCAACACTCGACTCCCGTGGCTATATTGTTTTTTGCCCAGTGGCTGTACTTATTTCCTAGTCTTTTCATGCCCAGTTATATTCAAATAACCCAAGCGTTTTAATTCATTTCTAAGTAGGTGGCGGATATGTTTTGAAAGAATACTGTTCCAAATGCTATTGATACTTCTCACTTTAAAAACATAAAGTTATGTGAAAAAAAAATTGTTTTCAAAACCAAATGGTTCAAATGTCTCATCAGTTTATTTTATTGTTAAAATTATATATATATATATATATATATATATATATATATATATATATATATATATATATATATATTATATATATATACATATATATATAAAAGGGTGGTATGTAAGATTTTTTTTCACCCTTCAACATTATTAAAATAATTTTTTTTTCTATATTTATTCTCACAATGACAGGTATAAAAAAAAGAGTTAGACTCTTTTTTTATATATATCTTTTTAAATTTATCGTTAAAAAAGACTCAAGAATGATTTTTTTTTCCATTTAATGACGTTTTTGTTTACATTCTAAGCTTAAGCATGAGTAAACATGGGTAAAATGGTTCTTACAAGCAGAGGCGGTTTTACGGGTGTGTGTGTGGGGAAGGGGGGGGGGGAAGGGGTTACACCCCACCCTCCAAAGAAGGTGATTTTTAAGTTATAGTCAGTTTTTTTTACGAATTTAGTCATCTAGTCAGGCTACTTGACCCAGTTCAGTCGGTTAAATCTTCGTTTTGAGGACTTTTTTTTTTTAATCTTTTGAAGAAGCTAGTCGATACATTTTGAGGATTTATCCCCCCCCCTTCCTTCCTCATTTTATTTGCAGAACTGCCTCTGCTTAAATTTATATTTAAATTTAAATTAGAGTATATTTAAATTTATATCATTATAGTTCATTTAAATAAAGTAAAAAATTATCCTAAAACTTCTTGGTAAAATTAGAAATAGAGGCAAAAAAATATTCTTAGTAAAAATAATTTTTTGAAAACACTATCATCAATTAAGTTTTTAATTAATAAACTCCAATATTATATTTACCTACGAGAGTCCAAACCATCTGTTTCTCTTAAAAGAACTTGTAGCATACAATGCGTTTACGGTCTAATTAATATTATTTTTAGAAAAGAAGTTGAAACTCTAATTATGAAATATAAAAAGCTGTGATCCCTTAAAAACAGATTGACATGAACAACCAAGGATAAAGAGAACTCTTTAATAGAATCTAAAAAAAGGTAGTTTGGAACATGACAAAAAAATCACGATTGACAAAATAACAATGGATAGAAAAAGAACAAAAGAAACTAAATGTATGGACATTTTGTTTTTGAAAAGGCATAAGAAAAAAAAAAAGGTTGTCTAGGCTCTTCCAATATTAGCTTTAACCCAAAAGAAGACATACATATATCTTATAGCTGAGAAAGTGATTTCCATGATTATTTAAGCTCAGAATGCAATGACTCTGTTAAAAGTGAGGTAAATGATTATACCCACAAAGAAGAACAAATATAATACTGCCTAAAGATAAACCGATAACCGCTGTAGTAGAAGAAATTTCTTTCAACCAGCACACTGCTATGATAAGTAGTTTTATAACTATCTCAGGAGGAGAAATAAATAGTTTGGTTTTATCTGAATTATCATCACGTTTCAGCCACAAGAAGAAGATTAGCTGTACTAGTTAAAGTGATTGGGAAAAACTATTTGGCATTTCTCATATTGAATCAGGTGCTGTAGAAATGCATTTCAAAGGAGTTTAAAATAGAATTTTATGGCCTCAGTTATTGTATACATTGTATATGTTTAGATACTACTGCTTCCAACACTGGTAAGCACCACGAAGCAATACCAAGAATGGTGCTTAAGCTTTTCATAAACACTAAATTGATTTCCTCCATTATCTTAGTTCACAACAATAAACTTACAAAGTAAAAAGAAACTTTTTTACAACATTTAGAAATTCATGTGATTTTTGGTCGATTAGTGGGACATTAAAAATACACTTTAGAATTATTTTTTCTTAATTTAATTATGTATTTTAAAACCATAAACTCATGAAATTAAAATGAAAAATAACTTTTTTCCTTTCAATAACAACACAAAAACAAATTTACTTTGGTCTTTCATGCTTTAAAGTAGTTTTTTTTTTTTTACTTTTTGTAATGAATGAAAAAAAAATTTTGATTCAAAGAAGTTTTTTATTTGTTTAAAAAAACATCAATTTTGCAAAACTATTTAGCGCTCAAGATCGCGGATGATTGCAGCTACACTTCTCAGGGTAGTTAGTAGACACTATACACTAAAAAATATCAAAATATGGAATTGGTACAAATTGGAACAATTTTTTAATTCTTCATCAAAGTTAAAATTTAGTATTTTTGCGACGGAATTTTTACTTTCAATGCTAAAAATTGTAGTACCAACTTTTTCAAGAACTTTTTTATTTTTTGTTTTTTAACAGTCTATACTGTAACCTTTTTAATCGTGTGTATATTCTCAATTTTTCAATCATTTGTATATCAAAAAAATAGTAATTAATAAAATCCAGCACCTTGAGGGTTTTTATCGAAAATTCATTAAAAACCTAACTTCAAGAAGCCACTACCAATGAGCCTGTCACATTTAGAATTTCATAAATTGGAAAATTCTTAGTGAGGGTGTTAGTAACAAAACCCACTATCAGTCATAATGATTGAACAAACTCACTTTTTTGATTTTTGGCCATGTGATTTCCCACTGTGCAAGTAGTCTCAGATAGAAAAGAGTGCTTCGTATGTTCATAGTAAAAATTCACCGCTGCAGAGTATGGGTTTGTGTATTTATATAGTAGTTATACATACATACATACATACATACATACATACATACATACATACATACATACATACATACATACATACATACATACATACATACATACATACATACATACATACATACATACATACATACATACATACATACATACATACATACATACATACATACATACATACATACAATTGAGAAATAAGACAAGTTTTTTTTCACTTATCAATAAAAATCATATTTTAAGCAAATAAAACAACAAAACATGTTTTGACTAATTTATTGCCGTCTTCAGTTGGGTTTAAAAACTTATTTAATTTTTATATACAGTTATTCCACGGTAATTAAATATAAAGTTAAATTTAAAAAAAAAATTATAATTTATATTTAATTACCGTAGAATATTTGTATATAAGAATTAAATAAGTTTTTAAACCCAACCGAAGATGATTATTGTTTTTTAAACTGAAGATAATTATAAAATAGTCAAAACATGAATTGTTGTTTTATTTGTTTAAAAAATGGTTTTTATTAATAAGTGGAAAAAATTAACTATTTTATTATAAAAAGAAATGTGTATATATATATATATATATATATATATATATATATATATATATATATATATATATATATATATATATATCGATACTAAATTCATTTTTTAAAAGAAATTTTCGCAGGATTGTTGTGACCAGCGTCTTCAGCTTAAAGGTTTTTTGTTTGATTTTGTTTATATGTTATTTAATATATATATATATATATATATATATATATATATATATATATATATATATATATATATATATATATATATATATATATATATATATATATATATATATATATATATATATATATATATATATATATATATATATATATATATATGTATATATATATGTATGTATATATATATATATTTAGCACTTTAACTATATATATATATACTAGTTAAAGTGCTAAATGTACTAAAAATAAACATAATAAACTCTACTAACCAGGATTTGTTGCAATTCTTTAGTTTTCTTTATAAAAAAATATTTATTTTCTAACAAGCAATGATATTAAAATTATAGTAATTTTAAAATTTTACAGCTTATTGCTGTAAAATTTTTGAACAACAAAAAATGTAATGAGACAATTCACAGCTTAAGAAAATTGTTTGTAATCCAAGCTATTATGTTTATTTCTTAATTGAAATTTTCCATTGTTAAGAAAGTACAAAAAGTAATAAAAAAAACTAATATCTTTGATATATATATATTTTTTTACCTTAATAAGTTCCTTAATTTTTTTTTTTTTTTTAGATATTAAATAAACAGTGGTTGACAAGTTCATGTTAACAATATTACTTTACAAATATAAAGTTATTAACATGATGACGCTGCAGTGACACAGTGAAAAAAATTAAAAAAAAAAGTTTTACTTTTACGTCGGTTAAAAGATAAATGTTTGCGGATATTTATGTATATATCACAAACACACTTTCATACATTTTATTTGATTATTTTTTAAAAACAGAAATATTAGCAAGGGGACAATTATTAAGTATGTTAACAGTTTTAAAGTGATTTCTTATTTCCTCTCTCTCTCTTCTGTTTAATCCCCTAGTAATGTGTATGTATATATATATATATATTTTTTTTGCTTTTTTTTTTTTTTTTTTTTGCTTTAAACTATTGTGTGTTTGTATATATATATATATATATATATATATATATATATATATATATATATATATTGTATATATATATATATATATATATATATACATATATATATATATATATATATATATATATATATATATATATATATATATATATATATATATATATATATATATATATATATATATATATATATATATATATATATATATATATATATATATATATATACAAACACACAATATTTTAAAGCAAAAAAAAAAAAAAGAAAAAGGACTTATATTATTATATATACCCATAAATACCTTTGATTACAGAAGATCCTTAAAACATATTTTCAAATCAATAAAGCTTAGAGTTGATTCAAATCAATAAAGCCTAGTGTTGAATAGGGAGAGGATAAAAAATAAAAAATTAAAAGAAACTGAAACTTTATATAACAAAAAGTAAAATAAACAGCTTATGCAGAAAGTTTAAACGTACTTGCTTTTTTAACTTGTATAATTTTTTTCAGAAGTAATGGCCCGATAAAGTTATGAAATTTAGTCAGCATTTTATGTTTATTTAACGCAACATCAAAGCAGGAGATTGACTACAAAAATCAATAGTTTGTCTGCAGACAAAATAGTGAGTCGCACAATGATAAACAAAATATTATGCAAGACAAAGTTATATTTGTTTCTTGCTGTAAAGAAACTTTTGCAAACGCTAACCATTTGCCAGAAAAGGAAAGTTTTATCCATAGCAAATGTAGTTTTTTGATTTTTATAAAACTTTTCTATTACTTTTATCTCTTTATTAAATGCTGCAATACTATCTTTCTTATTAGTTCTATATTGGATGATGAGCTAGTTAGATTAATCATTCTCGGAGTATTTATACACAATTGCCTAAAGCAACTTTCTTCCTTTTTTTTTCTTTTCCAACAAGGATCAACTCAAGTACTTTAATTAATAATATATTTTCTAATTCAATTTCTAAAGATATTTTATTTGGTAGTTTAACTAATAAAATATCGGTTCATTTACCTTAGTTTATAATTTATTCATCTTATAAAAAAAGAAAAAAAAAACATTTTCTTAAAAGAAATATTATTCTCCGACTTAATATAAAAGATTTCAGAAACAATTACTTAAAAATAAAATTGGGATGAATTGGTCAAAGTTTCCATTGTTAATATTAACAAATAATATTAAGAATTTTTTACTAGTTTTAACTATCGTTTAGACAAAAACGCACCGCTAAAAAAACCTAAGAAATCTTGACTTACCTCGGAGCCTTAAAACATGGATTACTTCAGTAATTTTAACCTTCATAAAAAAAATAAGATATTAAAGAGACTTCTTAGAACAAAAAATCTACATAACAAACTAAATCTTGAAAAGACTTACAAAACCTATAAAAATTTATTTGTAATACTTATTTGAAAAAGCATAAAAAATATTTTTTGAAAATTTTCTGCTAACGGCAATAGTTTAAGAATTTTTTTTTCAATTTTATTTCGGTGCCCCAAGAAGTCCTTACGGTCTTCACAGAACACCGCGGATTAGCAATTAATAGGAAGTTCACGCCCCGATGTCGTAAAACTTGCCTAGAAGTGGGGTTTGAACCACGGATTCTTTGCGTCTGAGGTAAGTATCATTAACAGCTGTAATATACATATATAATAGACATAGAGTATCTTGAATTTATATCGGAATATTTAATTTTACTTACTTTTTTATTTTTATTTTTTATTTTTTCGTTTATCTTCAAGAGTATATGCTCCTAAAGAAAGTTTCTTCCTTCGTTAAATTATTATTTATTTTGTAAATATCTTACTTAGCGGTACTTGATGATTAGACCGTATGGTCTTCTACGAGTCCGTTATTTTATTTTTTTAATAACGATCATTGTTTATTATTATATATTTGTATTTTAAATATTGTAACAAAATGCTTATTTAAAATGCAATAAAAAGAACAATTGAAAAAAAAAGCTAAAATCTATCAAATTTTTAAAATTAGTCTTTATTTCAATTCCTGAAAGACTGCGAAAAAAAAAATATTCACTCATCCAAAGCTGAGTTTCATAAGTGAAAAGTTTTCGACTAAACTATGAAAGGTTAATGAATAAGGTTTGGAGTTTTAAAACTCCAAACCTTATTCATTAACCTTTCATAGTTTAGTCGAAATTTCGACATTTTTGGATAAATCATTTTTTTACCTGTAAAATATTTAAGCTCTTTTCCGACGCTGCTTTTAGAATAATTCTATGGTTGTCGTTTTGAAAGTGAAAGTTTTCGCTTTTGAAAAGAAAATTTTTGAAAGCATTTTTTAATAGAAGCACTAAAGTGACGTCATAAAGTAATTGATCAAGTTTTATATTATTATTATTATTTTTAATTTATTTAGGTGCCCCAAGAAGACCTAACGGTCTTGTCACAGAGCACCGCGATAGTACATTTAACTAGGAAGTTCACGCCTCCTTCCTAACCGTGACGCGTAAATATGTCCAAGGCTCGTTTCGAACATGGATCTCCTGCTTATAAAGCAAGCGCTCTAACCACTGCGCCACGGCCCGCATATTATTACTATTTAAATTTAAAAACACAAAAAATTAAGTTATTACTTCTAAAAAAAGGTACACGTATTAGTCATTATTTTATTCAAAGTCAAATTATTTAATTTAAATGAATTAAAAACAAACCTCTGAGTTTATAACCGAATTTTTTTTTTTTTTTAATAGATAAAAATGGCTTTGGAAGTATGAAATTACTTTAATATGCAGTAAATGATAAAAAATACGATGGCTGCAAAAAATGTCATAAAAGAATCGCTTGTTCAGCTTAAGTGTCTTTATTAAACACGTCACACTGTTAGCAAAAATCCAAAGTCAGGTTTTCTCGGGAACTTGCTTTACAGTTCCTGAGGTAGGTTAGGGTAAAATGAGCATCTTAGTCAAAAATTAGAATTTTTTCAAAAATAATTAAGCTAGATTCAAAATTTTTGCACTTTTCTTCACAATCGACCATACAATTTTAAATTTAAAAGTATGCTTTTTGAACAACAATACTAAATTCGCTATATTAAATCAATTAAAATAAGCGGCTGCTGTTCTATTTTAAGTTAATTACTTTTATTTTTACTTTTTTAACTTAATTTCTTTTTTAATTAATCTTGATATTATTTACATCAGTTATTTAAATTTTTTTTAAAAATACTTTCTGGTCTGGTTTATTGTTCTTGCTTTGGAAATGGCTCCGCATTTTGACCAATTTGTTGTCGATAACGGTTCTTCATATTTGCAACTAGAAAATTTATTATATTGTTTTTTTAATATTTGATTTTTTGTTTATTAAGGCTAAGTTTTGAGCACGTGAAAAAAATATTTGAAGACGATCCGATAAATCTATTTTAAGTATTCCTGTTTTTAGAGATCTGAAATGAGTCAGTATGTAACCTATTGTAATGGTAAATGTTTTTTAGATCATTCTGAATATATAAATAAACTATAGTTCTTATATATACTTATTTTTTAATTATAAAGACTATATATATTTCCGAAATATGTACAATTTTGGAACTATACATTAATTCCTCCTCTTCTATAAGTCTTTTCAAATAAAATCATTTTATAGTTGGATATAGTTAAAAAGTTTGAGTTAGTGGAGATTCATCTTCACGACACGTTACTAAGAGGAAAATCAAATTAAATTGGTAACTACAATCTAAAAAAGATTTTTAATTCATCAGTATTTGTCTTATTTTATGTGTATTAATGAGAAATCTTTTTTATTTTGGATAAGGTTTCAATTTTAAAATATTCTATCCCAGCAGGCACAATGACGTTGAAATAACGTTGAAACAACTACGACGTTGAAAAATACGACGTTGAAACAACGTCGATGATTACGTTGTTTCAACGTTGATCTATCGTTTTATCGACTGCATATCAACCATATTTCAACTTTGAATAGGTGATATATTCGATTGATACGTAGTTGATAAGACGTTAGAACAACGTTGAAACAACGTAAACTCAACGTTGATTTTTGTTTTTTATTTAGGTTAAACCCAATTAACTAAAAAATTATCTCAACTTTAATTGCAATAAATTAACACAATAAAAAAGCAACAATTTGCGCGAAGAATATTATATTTCACGCAAATTAATCAGATACAACTAAATTGCTTCAACGGACTTTATATACAATGCAAATAAAATAAAATGTTTGAAAAAAAAAAGTTTTATTTATCAGTATTATATTTATCAATTTATCAATAATAACTGTTATCAATAGTTCCAGAACAACTAGGAAAAAGTATGAATGTTATACATCAGGTGAATTGCCTTTTACGCGCCAACTACCACCATTTAATCTGTCGAGTGCGTATTTTAATAAAGTCATTATTCCTTTTCTTATTTCGGTAACTGTAGCAGTCACTTTAATTGACAAAACGCTCTCTATAAAAAAAGGTAATGCCTGA